AATAATGTTCGCATTAAATATCAATGTTGGCTTAAAATCTACTTTAAGGGTTATGTTATAAATATGTTTACATGCTTTTGGCTGTGTGTGCGTCTAATTGCGTGTGATTGTATGTTGAGTTTCATGTGCTGGCGGATTCTTGCTGTTATTGCTGTTTTGGTTTCTGTTAAATACTTGCAAATAAAGTTAAAGTATTTAACTTTTATGTTTACTGGTTTACAACTTGCAAACATTGTTTTAAAGTTAAGTTTTGTGGCTGCGCTGTTGGTTTCTGAAAGAAAATTTTGAAGTTATGTTAAGATACACTTACGTACCTGTATTGTTAGAAATAACTAATAGAAATCTTTTTTATTGTCAGAAGCTTAAAAGGTTGGTAGACGTGTGAAAAAAAATAATTCTATATGATTGTCAGAACAAGTAAAGAATGGGAATCTTTGAAGTAAAATTATGTAAAAAGTAATACTTTGATATTTAATTTCATTTACAATAAATATCAAATTGATCATTATAATAATTAAAAATTGAAAACGATCCATATTTTTGAATTTTAATGAAGTTACTTCCTTATATAAAAATATTAACTTTTATTAAAGGTGAATGTGCAATATGTATATAATGCGAATTTAGAAAAATGTATAAAATTGATATCCAACATACGTCAACTCAATATGTTTTACTTCACACGTACAATAATTAATTTTATTGAAATATTTATTTGAAGGCACAAACATTAAGCTTAAATACGCAACAATTTGAAAAAAGTTGCAGGCGCCACAAGTCAGTTCAGAGTAAGCCTGCTAGTGTTATAGTATCTTCTACGGATAATCTAACTAGAGTAGTAGGAATGAACTATACTATTACAAATTACCGTTCGAATAGATCAGTTATCAGTTAATATATATTTTGATTACGTTTTGAAAAATTTCCCAAATGATTCAGATACATTGGATGGCAACAATCCAGTCCAACTGTACTCTTGGCAGCGCAGTATTGTTAATCACAAAGTTGTGCACAGTTTACAAATACAGCAAAGAATTATATGGACTACAAATGTTCGTAGTCCGATTATTTCAGGAATATGAGAATAGAGGACTTGACTATAAAACATCATTGAATAGTTGCTGTGAACGTGTAAAGGCATTTATAAAAGCAACAGCTTTCATTTATTCATTGATGAGTTTCATAATGTTTTCATTACCATTCATTTTATTGGCTATAACTGGAAAACATTATCTAATATTACCTATGTTTGTGCCTGGCTTGGTTATTGAAACATCGCTTGCTATGTTTTTTGGTAGCTTCTATCATTACGTCTGTGATTTGTTTGTCATACTCTACTTTGTACAGATGTACAGTGTTTGTGAGATATTTCGTTTGAAGGTGAAGGACTTTAATAATCTTACCGTAAGTCTACAACATAAGGAACAATAGGAGCATTGAGATTATTTTATAACTATTAAGGTACCCGATGCGGCTCAAAAGATGAACTATGGTAGCGGTGCTACGCTTCTTTTAGAGCTGGTACCCTCTTTATTTTTAATTTTATTTCTTTCTAAGGTACTTGATATTCATGGATTGTTTTTCAAATAAGTGTAATAGAAATTTTAATTTCTAGAAACGGTATTTTATGAAGTAATAAAAAATATTAAAATTTTAAATGTGTTTTGCTTCCTATTTAGAACTATTTTTATAATGTTTGACTTTTTTAATTCTTATTTCAGAGTTCAGTACCACTTATATACAAAGTTTTAATCAAAATGTACAAATGCATTTTACTAATCCCACATTACTACCCTAAGTTCTAAGTTCTGCTCTGTAATTTGTTGTTATGATATATGTCTTAGCTATCACTGCTACTCTTGACTAACAGTAAATCGCTTATAAAACATTTGCGAATTAACCTGAGCACTCCAAATGGACATGACACTAAAACAAGTATAAAAACTGTTGTTAAGTTACTTCCTTCAATTGAAGTGTACATAGTATCTCATAAGTAGTTCTGTGTCTGTGTACCATAATGCATAATGTTGCTGACGAGACTCACAGCTTGTGCTGTTCCGAAATAAAAACTCATTATCTGCCAAAGCTAATTTAAAATTGTCTTTTGCAATTTCAAAACATTGTCATCCAACTGCCATCAGCTGTCAAAAGTTTCGAGCGTGTTTAATGGTGCCAGCACAATAAACTCGTCATACTCCCGCTGTGGCGCGTCGTCGCATCACTATATCTCAATCTATCTCAACTTCTACCTTCTACCTTCTAGCTTCTAGCGCACAAATTGCTGATTTTGCTTTTCTTGAGTTGTTATGACACTTTTAATAACTTTATTATTGCATTTACATAAGAAGTTGGTTGTTGGTGGCGTATGATGAACATTTTCCTGAATTTACACCTTACACCTTAAAGTAGCGCACCAAATGTGTAGCATCAACTAACCTGAGATGCACTATAAATGCGCATTACCTTTGGCTACTTGTTGTATATCATGAAGTTAATGTGAGGAAGAAGGAAACTTCGGGGTGGGGGGATGTGTACTTCTTTAAAAATACGCGTGAGCAATTAAAAGTTTTGTATTGTAAAATGATTTTATGACTCTAGAAACACATGCGCGCGGCATGGCACGGCACGTCTTTTCCCATATATTTTAATAGACAGAATGTGTACTTGCTTTTATTCTCGTCACTGTACTGTAATTTTATATATTTTGGATACTTCGGAAAGGTTGCTGCCCTTATGTGTAAGTCTGGATATGGACCGAAAATAATGCTCTGGGTATGCAATACTGCATATGTTTTGTACAAAAGTTTATAAATACATTTTATTTGATTTGTTTTATGTTCTATTTAATAAGATTTTTACTGCATATAATTAAAAGTTTACTTTTAATTTGAAGGTAATTAACACACATACGCTGATTCAGAGAGAAATTTAAAGCAAATAATTTTGGAAATATTTTTGAAATTTAAATTTAATTTCAGACGCTTATTTAAACACTTAAATATACATTCTTTTAGCAGAGAGTTTTTAAAAATATATTATAATAACGAATTGTTTAATAATGAAATGACATCATATATAGAAAAACTTTGAACTTCGCCCAATTCTGAAATGACAATATTAATTTAATCACAATATTAAAATGATACATTTATTTTTCATCTATTTTTGTTTACCTATCAGTGGTGTTAGTTTTCAATATCTCCGTATATTTGTAACACTGATCAATTGCTGATATAAAAGTTTCAGCCAAAAATTTTTCAAAAATAGAATGGAAAAACTAAACACAAAAAAAAAATTTAAAACTCCCGTCAATCAAATTGATTTAGGCCAACAAATCACTCATGAGAAATTTGCTCAAAGTGATTATCTGCGACGAGCAGGCTAAAATCTAACGTTCAGCAGGTCACGATTCCATCGGAAAACGTTACTTGTTTGACAAGGAGCTTAGTTTTCATGTGGGATTGTCGTCGTCATGTTGCTTGCTAAATAAATTAGTTAATAGTTGAAAAAATGATAGAAAAGGCAATAAACCTATTTGTAAGCTACCAGCAGAAGCTCTGGATTGAACTTTAGCTGCGACTTTTCTCACGCCAATTGGAGCTCGAAACGCTTCAACTAAGAAAATCTTACTCGTTTCATGCTGTCAGGGTCATTGGTTGTCAGCAATGTTAACGATTTCATCACATCACTCCTTTATCTTCAAGTCTTACTAAAATAGCAATACATGCTTTATCTACTTACATTCAAGCACATGCATGCATGTGGTAGAAAAATATGTAGAAAAATGACTCCTCCTTAGAGCAGGCAATCAAGTAAATTTAAAAAAACGAGAAAAAAATATTAACAGAAAAAGTAAAGTTAGAAGCTTTGTATGCTCTTGCCCTATTTTAAGTTATTGCTACTAATTTATCATATGGAAGCTGAGAGAAATTGCACCCATGGCGTTGAATAGGCTACACTTTTGTACTGATTGATTCGGTGATATATTGATATGAGGGCACATCCACGCTGATGAACCATATACTTTTTAGGGATTGACTGATAAGCTTGTTGTGTAAAAATTGTACAAATTTGAAGTGTTAAATATGTGGAATAATTACTGAAAAGTATCGGGAAAATAAATTATTGAAGGAAGAATGAACTATTAAGTGCATGAGTAATAATTTAACATACTATTTCTTGAAGGAATTATTGTATTATTGTATAATCAGAAAAATACAATAAAATTAATTTGTTAAAACATATTTTTTAAATAAAATAAAAGTTTGTAATATGGAAATACAATGGGTAAATTATGCAAAATAAAAGTAGATCAAAATAATGTAGATCT